AAGGTGGCTGCAGAAATTCGCATAAATAGAAAGGAGTCTAATGTCAATTTTCCCAAGACCACGGGGAAAATGTCTCCAGGCTACGTCAGAGACCTTCATGGCAGCACCTCCCATCACAGGCCCAGAGGCCCAAGAGGAAAAAGTGGTTTTGTGGCCAGACCCAGGGTACCCATGCTGGTGCCCTGTGTCCAAGCCACTCCAGCTGTGGCTGAAAGGGGCCAACATAGATCATGGGCTGTGACTTAAGAGGGTGGAAGCCCCAATCCTTGGCAGCTACTACATGGTGGTGTTGAGCCGTGTACACAAAAGTCAAGAATTGAGTTTTGGAAATCTCGGCCTAGGTTTCAGAAGATGAATGGAAATGCCTGGATGCCCAGGCAAAAGTCTACTTGCAGGGCAGGGCCTTAATGGAGAGCCTCTGTTAGGGCAGTGTGGGAGGGAAATGTGGAGTTGGAGCCCCCACATACAGTCCCCTACTAGGGCACTGCCTAGTGGAGCTGTGAGAACAGGGCCACTGTCCTCCACACTTCAGAATGGTAGATCCATTGACAGCTTGCACCGTGCACCTAAAAAAGCCACCGACACAGGCCTGTAAAAGCCAGCCCATGAAAGCAGCCAGGAGAGAGGTTGTACCCAGCAAAGCCACTGGGGCAGAGCTTCCCAAGACCATGGGAACCCACCTTTTGCATCAGCGTGACCTAGATGTGAGACCTGGAGTCAAAGGAGATCATTTTGGAGCTTTAAAATTTGACTGCCCTGCTGCATTTTGGACTTGCATGGGCCCTGTGACCCCTTTGTTTTGGCCAGATTCTTCTATTTGGAACAGCTGTATTTACCTGTATCCACATTGTATCTAGGAAGTCACTGGATGTTTTTTATTTTGTAGGCTCACAAGTTGGAGGGACTTGCCTTGTTTTAGATGAGACTTTGGACTGTGGACTTTTGGGATAATGCTGAAAAGAGTTAAGACTTTGGGGGACTGTTGGGAAGGCACGATTGGTTTTGAAATGAGAGAACATGAGACTTGGAGGAGCCATGGCATGATAAGGTTTGGCTGTGTCCCATCCAAATCTCAACTTGAATTGTGTCTCCCAGAATTCTAACATGTTGTGGGAGGGACCTAGCGGGAGGTAATTGAATCATGGGGGCTGGTCTTTCCCATGCTATTCTTGCAATAGTGATTAAGTCTCATGAGATCTGTTGGGTTTATCAGGGGTTTCTGCTTTTGCTTCTCTTCCTCAGTTTTCTCTTGCTACTGCCATGTAAGAAGTGCCTTTTGCCTCCTGCCATGATTCTGAGGCCTCCCCAGCCATGAAGAACGGTAAGTCCAATTAAATCTCTTTCTGTTCCCAGTTTTGGGTATGTCTTTATCAGCAGCATGAAAATGAATTAATACAGTAAAAGAGAACCCTGACTAATACATCTCATCTCTACTAAAACAATACAAAAAAGAGTAAGGCATAGTGTTGCACATCTGTCGTCCCAGATACTCGGGAGGCTGAGGCAGGAGAATTGCATGAACCTGGGAGGCGGAGGCTGCAGTAAGCCAAGATTGCGCCACTGCACTCCAGCCTGGGCAGCAGAGCAAGACTCCATCTCAAAAAAAAAAAGGATGCCCACTTTCACCACTTTTATTCAGTATAGCACTAGCCAAAGCAATTAGTCAAGAGAAAGAAATAAAGGGCATGCAAATTGGAAAGGAAGAAGTTGAATTATCCTTGTTTGCAAACAATGTGATCTTATATTTAGAAAAACCTAAAGATTCCACAAAAAAACCTATTAGAAGTGACAAATTCAGCAAAGTTGAAGGATATAAAATCAACATAGAAAAATCAGTCAAATTTCTATATGCTAGCAGCCAGCAATGTGAAAAAAAACCAATAAAGTAATCATACAGCATCTACAAGTAAAATAAAATATCTAGGAATAAATTTAGGAGGTGGAAAACTTCTACAAGGAAAACTATAAAACACTGATTAAAGAAGTTAAAGAGGATAAAAAGAAAGGGAAAAACATCCCATGCTCACTTTTCAGAATAATTAATATTGTTAAAATAACAGTACTACCCAAAGCAATCTACATATTTGATGCCATTCCTATAAAAATACCAATGTCATTCTTCACAGAAATAGAAAAAAAATTGTAAAATTTATATGGAACCACAAAAGACTTCAAATTGCTAAAGCAATCCAGAGCAAAAAGAACAAAGCTAGAAGCATCACGTTACCTTACTTCAAATTATACTACAGGCTGGACGCAGTGGCTCACACCTGTAGCCCCAGCAGTTTGGAAGGCTGAGGTGGGTGGATTGCTTGAAGCCAGGAGTTTGAGACCAGTCTGGCCAACATGGCGAATCCCCTTCTCTACTAAAAATACAAAAATTAGCTGGGCATTGGTGGTGGGCATCTGTAATCCCAACTACTTGGGAGGCTGAGGCAGGAGAATCACTTGAACCTGGGAGGTGGAGGTTGCAGTGAGCTGAGCTTGTCCCACTGCACTCCAGCCTGGGCAGCAGAGAGAGACCCTGTCTCAAAAAACAAACAAATTATACTACAGAGCTATCGTAGCCAAAAAAAGATGGTACTGGTATGAAAACAGACACATAGACAAATGGAACAGAATGGAGACCTCAGAAATAAGTCTGTGTACTTAGAGCCAACTCATTTTTGTCATTTTTGACAAAAGCACCAAGAACACGTATTGGGGGGAAACAGTCTCCTTAATAAGTGGTGCTGGGAAAACTGTGTATCTGTATGCAGAACAATAAAACGAGATCCCCATCTTTCATCATATACAAATATCAACTCAAAATGAATTAAAGACTTACATAAGACCTAAAACTGTGAACTTGCTGGAGGAAAACACTGAATAAATGCTACAGGACATTGGTTTGGGCAAAGATTTTTTGGCTTAGGACCTCGAAAGCATAGGAAGTAAAAGCAAAAATAGAAAAATGAGATTACATCAAGCTAAGAAGCTTCTGGACAGCAAAGCTGTGTAGAGACAACCTTCAGAAAATATCTGCAAACTATCCATCTAACAATGGATTAATAAAATGTATAAGAAATGTAAACAACTCAATAGCAAAATAGCAAAGAATCTAATTTTTTTTAATGGGCAAAAGACCTGGGTAAACATCTCTCGAAAGAAGACATACAAATGGCCAACAGGTAGATTAAAAAGTGCTCAACACCACTAATCATCAGGAAAATGCAAGTCAAAACCACCACGAGATATCAACTCACTTCAGTTAGAATGTCTATTATCAAAAAGAGAAAACAATAACAAATGGTGGCAAGGATGTAGAGAAGGAGGAACCCTGTTATAGTGTTGGTGGGAATGTAAAGTACAATAGCCACATGAAAACAGTATGGAAGTTTCTCAAAAATCTAAAAATGAAACTACTGTATGATCCAATGATCTCACTGCTGGGTATACATCCAAAAGAAGTCAATATATTGAAGAAGTATCTGCACTCCAATGTTGACTGTAGAACTGTTCACAATAGCCAGTATTATGGAATCAACCTGTGTCCATCAGTGGATGAATGGATAAAGAAAATGTGGTATATATTCACAATGAAATATTATTTGGCCACAAAAATAACGAAATGCTGTCATTCATAGCAACATGAATGGAACACTGCCATTAACCTGATTTGATCATTACACATCGTATACATGTATCAAAATATCACACATACCCTCAAAATATGTACAACTATGATACACCAATTACAAATACAAAAAAAGGAGGTTGCAGGCATGGTGGCTTGTGCTTGTAATCCCAGCTCTTTGGGAGGCCAAGGCAGGAGGATTGCTTGAGCCCAGGAGTTTGAGACCAGCCTGGGCAACATAGTGAGACCCCATCTCTACAAAAATTTTAAAAAATAATTCTCCAGGTGTGGTGGTGCACACCTGTAGTCCCAACTAGGGAGACTGAGGTGGGAGGATCATTTGAGCCTGGGAGGTCAAGGATGCAGTGAGCTGTGATTACACCACTGTACTCCAACCTGGGTGCCAGAGCAAAACTCTTTCTCTTAAAAAAAAAAAAATAACAAAAATAGAAGACAAATTTACCCCCAAAGTGAGAAAGACAATGGGACAAATTTGGATTGAGACCTATGATTCCCAGTTCAGGCAACACTTGAAGACAGAAGGGGCCCGTCATGGTTTCTTTCCTCTGGCTAACCTAAGCATTGGCTTAGAGGTTATCAGAGTGGCAGAAGACAGAGTACTTCTCTGAAAAACCCTTTGTTTTCCTTCTACAGAGAGGATTTACTTCAGGCTCACATTTGTTATCTCATTGGCTCTGACCATGGTGCTGAATCCTCTGAACTTGAAAACTGAACTCCTACAAAGGCAGTAGATCAAACTCTTGGTTTTGAGATGTGCTAGAAGTGATACGGGGAAGTACAGTACCCCTCTGCCTCCCTTCTGTACTTCTACCAACCTTATCTGCTCCCTTGAGCTCCCTTTGAGCTATAAAACGCAGGGGAAATTTCTCTAAAATGTATAGATTCGGATGCTCCCAGTTCCTGAACTCCATCTACAAGAGTAGTTCTTTGAATTGTCAGAAAACAGTCTGGCCCAATAGTAAATCCAAGGCAGGCCAAACACAATATTTTTCCCATTTATGGGAATAATAGGTATGTCACAGTTCCTAAGACAACCACACAGGCTTCTGCTCAGCGTGGGTGTTCCTGACTTCACTGGAGTCAGCAGCAGTGTGCTGCTTCATTGCTGACATTCAGCAAACGTGTGTTTATATAAAGCTCTGTCATAAGCTAATCCTCCAGAATCCCACATAATCTGCTTCTAAACGCAAAGCAGAATGTGCTATGTGTGTTACCAGAGATCCCATGTGTTACACTGATGTGACAGGACAGTGGTCTGTTCTGATCTGGAACCTAACCACCTAACCAGAGACAGTCCTTAGAGTACTGAACTCTGAGCTTGACCTTCCCCTCACTTTCCATTTCAGGCTAGGGGTGGACATACCTGAGTTGGTGAAGTCTGTTCAGCCATAAACGCGTTTGTAGAGATGAATTTTACTGTGCTGTGAGACTCTGGTCACGAATCATGGAACTTCTGCTTTCTGGTAGCTTGGATGGATTGTTTGTTCTTCCAAGGACTGCTAACCAGTGAGAAGACAGTTAAGATAGGCTGGGGCAGACAGTGTTTAATCTGCTCCACAGACACAAACTGCAGCTCCATCCCACCAGCATCTGCAAACAGGGCAGAGAGATTAGTGTGTGGAATTGGCACAAACAAAGGGATGCCCAGGGATTGGTTTAGGAGGACGAGCCTTTCCTCTAGGGGACCTGGGAGAACACTGGCGAGCAACAGGAGCAGAGGGTCTTGCCTCTCATTCAGCATCATGAAGAGTCCTGCATCCCTTCTGGGATTCCTTTCTCAGAACTTAAGGACTTCAGAGAGGTGTGGCATGTTGAGCCAGACATTAACTTTGTCTAGGAGAGCAGCGTGGGTTTTTAAGGGAAACCCCTTGGGAAGGGTGGCACTTGCAATCAGTTGAGCTGCTTAAGCCAATATCCTGAGCTGAGAAAGGCCTGAGGAGCAAAGTTCTGGGCATAGTACAGGGAAACCCCCTGTTGGTGCCTAGAGCAGGGTAGGTGCTCAATAAATTTTTACTGAACTGAATTCTTGAACTACTAAAGGAGAGGCAAACAGCTGCTTCTAAGGGCTGATCCTATGCTTCAGAAAGCAGAGGAGTGCATCACGTGTCTGGTCTTTTGGACTCACATTCTACAGCCCTGAGGGGCTCTTGCTGCTAGGACAGAGGCATGAGCTCAGGAGCAGCCAGGGACCCAGAAGGCAGCCCATCTTCACTGGCTGTTGCACCTTCAGATAAAAAAGGCCAATGCATATACCCACAAGTCCTCTTTTTCTGTGTCACTTTCACTTCCCAGACATTTCAACATGGTACTCCTATTGACCTTCACTTCTATATAGAGAAAATAGAGCTAGTGTTTTTTTATTTTTATTTTTCCATGCCCATCAGGACCCTTCCCAAGGCCAATTGCAAAGTCATTCACAGGTAGAGTATCAACGAGAATCTCTTATCTGTTGTCTCTTTTCTTTTGGAACTCAGCTCATATTATTTGCATTTGTGCCAGCCTCTTTTCCATCCAAGTTTCTAATGTTTTTGTTTTTTGACACAGTAAGTCGGTAAGTGAGCTGGATTAGAACAGAAGTCCGTGTACAATCCACACTTTATGCTTTTGTCCCTGTTCTCCTGCCTGCCCTTGACCTTCCCCTCTGGCCTGTTCAGTCACAGGAAGGAAGGAGAGGCAGCTGTCTGCAACAGTAAAAATGCCTCCTACGAAAGCATACCCGGCGGCCATCCTTTTTTTCCAAGACCAGTTCTGACAGCTAAGAAGGCTGGCGCCCAGCTGGCATCCTCTGGTACCTTTGTCCTGTCACCTCCTGCCACACCAAGCCTCTGGCACAGTGTTCCTTACCAACTTCTGCCAGGCCTGCACCATCTTCTGCCCAACCCAGTGGGTGGCACCCAACATGTTCAGGGTTGATACAGATTGGTTCAGGGCCATAATTTGCGGACTTTTCTTTTCATGGATGCAGAATTTATAGGTGATAGGAGCAGCACCATTTCCTCCTCCTTTTTGACTTCTATCCTTCTCCTGACTTCGTCCTGTGACTTGGGGAACAAGGGCCTTGTCCATCTACAGACCCCTTTCATCTCCAGGAGGAAGGGTTGGATGCTGACTATCCCTCGTCTCCGCTCTGGCTGTAGAAAGTGCTAATCCTGAGACAGCAAGTCTGCACAGTTTGGCCCAAATCTTCCTGGCCGCACCCACATACCAGGGCAGTGCCAGCTTGCTCCCTTCTAAGGCAGCATCTATTGTTTTCATACAGTGGGCAGGGTTGGCCATTCGGCGCAAGGCCACCTGAGTGGAAAAAGCCTTTTCAAAACAGGGTGGCTTCGAAACAGTTGGCTATACTTTGTTCCTTGGCCCTTAAAGAGAAGAGAGAGAGAGTAAATGAGGGGTGTGGAGCTTCACGAGAAGTAGACTATGGTAATTTAAAATCAATGCCAAAAAATCCTTCCATCAGCTTACTAACAAAACACAATTTCCATGGGGTTCCAAGCTCCATTCTTGGAAAAAAATCAAAGCCCACTACAGTGGGTGGCCATTATACCCAGACGGACTGGAGGAGAGAAAATGCTAGAGCTCCCAGCCTTCACTGACCAAGGAAAGCTGTTCTCAGTCCAAGATAGCTGTTCTTCCTTCTGAGGCCTGTTTTAACAGCTGTAGAATGGAGGTAAATACTAAAAATACAAAAAACTAGCTGGGCATGGTGGTGTACACCTGTAGTCTCACCTACTTGGGAGGCTGTGATATGAGCATCACTTGAGCCTGGGAAGTCAAGGCTGCACGAGCTGTGATCACACCACTGCACTCCAGCCTGGGCGATGGGAGTGAGGTGAGACCCTGTCAAAAAAAAAAAAAAAAAAAAAAAAAAAAAAAAAAAAAGGTATATTAAATGAAAAAGACCTCTGTTATGGCACAAATTCTGGAAATTAAAAGGACACAAAGGATAAACAGAATCTCCTCAAAACGTTCAGAGAAAAAGGGCCAGAAATCAGCGTTATATCAGATTTGTACCTCTTCACAGCACCGGGGGCTAGAAAACAAAAGTCTGAGGGGATTTTTCCAGCCAGGAATTCCATAACCAGTGAAATAAGCAATAAAATACAGGCAAAATGAAAACCCTAAAAAAATTACCAGGAAACTGCTGAAGGATGTGTACACACACACACACACAGAATGACTGGGTGCGGGGTCTGAAAATGCTGAGGGGAATGTTACAGGTCTTTAAGGATTAGGAATTAATTGTGAATTATAGCATAAATTAAATTTAAAATGATGAAATTATTCATTTCAGAGTTTATAAAAAGTTTTAAAAGGAAATATAAAACTAGTTCATTATGATATCAACAGTATCTATATAATTATCAGTATCAGCTCTTGAGTTCACCAAAAACTGTGCTATAAGTAAATTATGAAGGCAAATGGAGTAATATGTGTACAGGTGGTAGTGGAGTTAAAGCTAAAATTTCATTTCCCATAGTAGAAAAATTCAAAAAATAAAGTCAAAATGAAGACACAGATGTATGAGCATTTTAAAATGGAAGTAACAGACTCATTTATCAGAAGAAACAGAGAAATGACTTGAAAGCAGCTGCCTACAGGAGAACAGGGTAGGACAGAGAACAGCTGTTTGCTTGCTCTGGGCTCAGTGCCTCTCATTTGCCTCTCTATGGGTATATGTTACATGGACAGAAATAAGTTTAAATTTAAAGAACAAGACAACTCAAATGCCAATCAAACCCAGGATAAACAAAATGTGGTCTGTCCAAATAATAATGGAATATTAGTTGGTCATAAAAAGGGATGAAGTACTGCGACATACAACATGGATGAACTCTGAAAACATCATGGTAAGTGAAAGAAGCCAGCCAGAAAAGGCTTTGTACCTTTTATCACAGACATCCCTATTGTATGTATGTATCATGTATCGTAATGGAATTGTATGATTCCATTTACATGAAATGTCCAGACTAGGTAAGTCTATAGAAAGCAGACTTTGCCAGGAGCTGCGAGGAGGAATGAATGAGAAATGTCTACTTAATGGGTACAGGTTTCTTTTTGGGGTGATAAAAATGTTGTGGAGTGAGAGTGGTGATGGTCACAGAACACTGTGAACATACTAAGGCCACTGAATTGTATACTTTAAAATGGTAAAATGGTAAATTTTATGTTATATGAATTTTTACCTCAATAATAAAGGAAAGAACATTGTATAATGGATTTTTGTATGGATAGTACCCAGATTCTATTGTATTTTCAGTTAAGAGTTGTTTACAAAGTCTCTGCAATATACTTCATACATTTTGCTTTAGTTAACATGAAAAAGCGAATACACATTTGCCTTTGACGATTTATTAGTTCCTTAGTATCTGAGGAGCTGTCATCATTCTAAATAGCCAAGATTATATTTTAGGTATAACAGATGGAAATGAATTAAAACCTCAAAATAGAATATCTTATCATTTATAATACAGAAATCATTTATGCCGCAGTTCTGTAGTAAACTTAACAGCTGGCTTTCTTGTCACCTGACGCTTTCTTTTAAAAATAGAGAAGAAGAGAAAACTTGAATTCAGAGTGCTGGGTAGTAATGCCTTGTGAATGAACGTATACTGTTTTGCTTCACTTTTTTCCAGCTAGATTTCATTTCTCTCTCCTTTGGCATCCCCTCATTCTGCAACATATTTTATTGTCTATTTTTTTTTATTAGTCAATTACTGAAACAGGTGAGTTGGCCACTAAGAAGAGCTTAGTCACTCAGAGTCAACCAAGCAGCAAACCCTGGCCACCGAGACTTGAACTCTTGTGAATCAGCTTCAGAGCTCAAATTTGCTCTTGTTGTTTTGTTAATATTTGTTTGGGTTTTTTGTTAGTTTACCAAGAAGAGTTTTAAAATCCTGTCTTGCTAAATGGCTTTTTAAGATGTATATATACAAAGCTCAGTTTTTTCTCATGTGTTATTTTCTCAGAATGATTTTTCTCATTTTTTTTCTCGAACTGTCACCCAGGCTGGAATGCAGTGGCACAATCTTGGCTCACTGCATCCTCCACCTCCCAGGTTCAAATGATTGTCCTGCCTCAGCCTCCCGAGTAGCTAGGATTACAGGTGCCTGCTACCGTACCCAGCTAATTTTTGTATTTTTAGTAGAGATGGGGTTTCACCATTTTGGCCAGGCTGTTCTCAAATTCCTGACCTTGTGACCCACCTGCTTCAGCCTCCCAAAGTGCTGGGATTACAGGCTTGAGCCACCATGCCAGGCCTCCTCAGGCTTGCACCCTCATGACGTGCTCTCTCTCTCTGCCTCTTGCTCCCTCTCTTCTCTCTCTCGGCAACACATTCTGGAAAGCCAGCCACCATGCTGAGGACTGCCCAGTGGAGAGGCCCATATTCCACAAAGAACTGATGTCTTCAGCCTGGGCAACATAGAAAGACCCTGTCTCTATAAAATATACATATATATATGTATATATAAAATTTATTATATATATATTTTAATATGTAGAGACCCTGTCTCTATAATATATAATATATATATATTTTCTCTCATATATATATATTTTAATTAGCCACGTGTGGTGGTACATGCTGTGAACCCAGCTACTTGGGAAGCTGAGGTAGTAGGATCCCTTGAGCCAGGAGTTCAAGGCTGCAGTGAGCTCTGATCACCACTACACTCCAGCCTGGGTGACAGAGTGAGACCCTGTCTCAAAAAACCAAAAACCATGGTTTTACAAGATATGAACAATAGAGAAAACTAGGAGAGAAATATAAAGGAACTCTCTATACTATCAATTTTTCTGTAAATTAAAAATTATCCACCCAAAAAGTTTATCTAAAAAGTTAGGTACTAAAGGCAGAATGTTTGAGGCTAGATAAGGATACTATGAACTGTATTAGCTAGCTATTGCTGCATAACAAAATAACCTCTAAAGTTAGTGGCATAAAATGACAAACATCTATTATGTCATAGTTTCTATGGGTCAGAAACCTGGGCATAGCCTGAGTCCTCTGGCTCAGCGTCACTCACTAACATGCTGCCATCAAGGTTTTGTCTGGTACTGTAGTCACCAGCAAGTTCATTGAGGAAGGACCCATGAGGGTCACTCATGTGACTCTCAGCAGGCCTCAGGTCCTGGTGAGGTATTGGCTGAAGACATCAGTTCTTTGTGGAATATGGGCCTCTCCACTGGGCAGTCCTCAGCATGGTGGCTGGCTTTCCAGAATGTGTTGCCGAGAGAGAGAAGAGAGGGAGCAAGAGGCAGAGAGAGAGCACGTCATGAGGGTGCAAGCCTGAGGAAGAAGACAACAGAATCACAGTGTATTTGTAACCCAGTCTCAGAAGTGACATCCTATCACTTTTGACATATTCCCTCCATTAGAAGCCAGGTTACTAGGTCCAGTCCACACTCCAGGGGAGGGAATGGTGCAGGACACAATACCAGCAGTGGAGGACCCAGGGGGCGACAGAAAAGGCTGCCTGGCAAGTGAACACACCCATTTATACCATCTCCCGCACCAAAATGAGCGGGCTGATTAAGAGCACAGGCTCTGGAATCACGGAGATTGGGTTTGTGCTCCTGCTTGGAAATGTCAGTTAGATGACCTTGGATTATTTAATTCTCTGTTTCTTCATCAGCAAAATGAGAATGATGATAATAAATTACTGACCTCAAAGGGCTGTTTTGAAAGTCAGATTAAAGGAGCTAATTCATACAAAATGCTTAGCAAGTGTCTAGCACAAAATAAGAGCTCAATGATGAGGATAAGCTATTATCATCATTACTACCACCACCACCTGATTCGTAATTCAGCCTCTCATGCCGATAGCCGTGGCATTGCAGGCAGGTTACTTGGCTTTTCTGTGCAACTGTTTCCTCATGTATAAGCTGGGGAAATCCTACCTACCCTTCAGAGCTATTGGGAGGGATGGGAGGTGATCAGTCACTGTGACTGATTACTTTTAATGGGAGTTCAATCTGCTTAGCATAAATTTCCTGCCCTTTTTGGCTAAGGCACCTCTGTTTTTGTTTGCTTTTCTATGAAATGAGGACAACAATCTTTAATTATTCTGCTTTTCATGGCTCTCTAACCTATTAATTCCTATTTATGCATATAGAAGGAAAAAAAAAACTACATGGGTAATCCATAATGGAAGATACATCAAAGTCATATTTATGGTCTTAGATACGTTCTTTGAAGCAGGGTTATTTTCTTCGATTTTATTTTGGTCATCATTGGAAGTTTTTATTCTTCATGCACATAGCAAATGAAAATGGAGAGAAACTATGAAAAGTGGAGGCTGCAGCCTAGAAGGAAGATTTGCCACAGACACCTACACAAGGATAGCTCACACAGAACCTAAGAATGGAGTGTACACAGCACGTCTTGTTCTCGTCTTACCGTTCCTCCCAGGAGCAAGGATCTTCCAGCCTTGCAGAAAAGCCTAGTAGGTAATCAGTCATCGGAGTGTAATGCAGGAAGTGCTCTCAAGCTCTGAAGGGGCACAGAAAAGAAAACCCTTGCCAGGGCTCTAAGCCTTGATGTGAAAGGCAGAGGAAGGCTTACTTGACAAGTTTACACCTGAGCCAGGAGCTGCAGGCTGGAGGTCCCTAGCTGATGACGGTCCCTAGATGATGAGGAGGTTGAGGAGAGGGGAGATGTGGGCAGAGGAAACAGCAGAGACACAGGCTGAGAAATGCCAAGGTACCTGAGTGTTGGCAGCAAGCAGCTGGGTGAGCACAGAAAGCAGGCCCCGGGAAGCACAGCCAGGAGGTGGTAATACAGGCAGGCGTGAGGTCATGAAGGGTCTGGTACCAGGTTGGGACACTTAAAAGAGTTCAGCTAAAAGTGAGGGACAAAGAGCAAGGTCATGTAGTTAAACGATTTTTTTTTAAGACATCCAGGCTGGAGTGCAGTGATGCGATCGTGGCTCACTGCAGCCTCAGCCAACCTCTTAGGCTCAAGCAGCCTCCCGCCCCAGCCTCCCAAGTAGCTGGGATTAAAGGCACCAGCCATAGCACTCAGCTCACGTATGTATTTTACAAAGATTAACTGGTGGCTCCAGCAAAGCTAGACTCATGGTGAGGGGCAGGCCCAGAAAGCCGTCTAGGAGGAGCAGAGAAAGGGGTGGAAAAGAGAGAATTGGGAGAGAACAGCAACAAGTTAGTTATGCTGAGTGTGGATGTGGGTGAGGGAGAAGGAAGAGGCCACAGACATAAGGTATTCACAGCTTTCATCATGGGGCAGAGCAGGGAGAGCTGGCTTTGGGGAGAGGACAATGTGGATGGCTTTGGCTATATGCCTAGTGTTCCATTATTGGAACGCTAAGCATGTGGGAGTTATGTCCTACTGTTCAAGGTCATTGCCAAGGCCTGGTGGCAAAAATTCAAAGAATTGCAACCTCAGGTGTAAATGGGTTAAACTGAGGTAAGTTTAGAAGAGCAGGCTAAACTATTATCTTTAGGAGCCACTAAAAATATAAAAAGCAAGAGGTCTCAAAAAATATCCCAGGCTAGAGCTCTGGTTTGAGGGAACTGAACACACAGGGATGTATTTGGAACCAGGGGAGTAAATAAGATTACTCAGAAAACAGCAGATAGGTAAGAAGGCAAAAGACAGTTTTGGGAAAATAATAACCATAGGACAGAAAAAGATGTGGCGGGATGATCCTGATTCTCATTGGATTTGCTGGTAGAATGTTTTGGTTACAAACTGCATGTCTTAGCCCGGAGGAGAAAACAACTTTTCCAGACAAGTGACAGGCAGGAGGGGAAAGGAGGGAGGTGGTGTGAGAGGTGGGGAAAGCTTAAGAAGGGTAGATGGATATTATCTCTTGATCGTGAGGCCAGTGGCTTTTCCAGGCCAGAAAGAAAACAAGGACAAGGCCTGAATTCCACCAGGTGCCCCTGCTGTTCTCCAGGATACCACAAGAAGACAGCAGGTGGCGGTAGGCGGCAAGTTTGCACAGTACCTGTGTTGGGAGATGCACTCAGGGGCCCCCGAGCGGCTGAGATGGCTCATTCCTAAGCCGTTTTTTTTAATGCCTCGTAGCGGACCCAGAAAACTCAGTATTGTTTTCAGGCTAATGATTTTACTTCTAGTGAGGTTGTGTCAGTCCGTTTTGTGCTGCTATAAAGAGATACCCGAGACTGGTAATTTATCCAGGAAAGAGGGTTTATTTGGCTCCCGGTTCTGCAGGCTGTACAAGCATGACACTGGCATCAGCTCAGCTCCTGGTGAGGTCTCGGGACGTTTTATTCATGGTGGAAGGCGGAGCGGGAAACGGGTGTCACATGGTGAGAGAGGGAGCAAGAAACAGCAAGAGAAAGGAAGGAGGTACCAGCTCCTATGGGGTCTCACTCTTGTCCCCCAGGCTGGAATGCAGTGGCGCCATCTCAGCTCACTGCAACCTCCACCTCCTGGGTTCAAGCAATTCTCTGGCCTTGGCCTCCCGAGTAGCTGGGATTACTGGTACCTGCCACAATGCCTGGCTAATTTTTTTTGTATTTTAGTAGAGACAGGGTTTCACCATGTTGGCCAGGCTGGTCTCGAACTCCTGACGTCAGGCAGTCCTCCTGCCTCAGCCTCCTAAAGTGCTGGGATGCAGGCAGGAGGCACCACATCCAGCCTGCAGCTCTTTTAAACAATCAGCTCCCCCTAACTGAGCAGGAACTCAGTAGTGAGGACAGCACAAGCCATTCATGAGGGATCTACTCCATGGCTCAAACACCCCCTGCCAGGCCCCACCTCCAGTACTGGGGATCACACTTCAACGTGAGATTGGAGAGGACAAACATCCAAACCATAGCAAAGGTATATTCTAGGATCCTAGTTCAAGTAGAACCTGCTTTCTTCGCTTTGCCTTCTAAACTGAACTGACAGATTAGCACAGTTCTCTCTCAGCCATAGAAACCCAGTTTCTCTGGACCATTTTTCCTTATGTAAGAAAATGATCTCTTTAACCATGGAGGGAGCTCCTCAGCCCGGCAAGAGAGTTCAGAGACAGTGGGTGCAGCTTCTCGGCCACAACAGAATCGAGTCCCTCGCTGCTCCTTTCCTATCATCTAAGGCGATCATTGATTTTTCCAAGGAGTGTTTCTAGGTATCCGTCACCAAAACAAAACCCCCACCAATTCTGTGGAATTTCTATAAAGAATAACCATTTGTTAGTATTATACCACATGCAATTCAGGTCAATGAAACTCAGCTTAGAAACTGGAAGAAGAAAAACCACCTTTGCATTATTGCTTTGCATTTGTTTTCTCAGTACTTATCTGTGGCCCCAAGGGTCACCAATACATTTCTCCTCTCATCAGTCAGCATCGTGGTGCTCTTCCCCAGTCATTATAACCGATTTCAGATGGTGCTAGAAAATTATATTGACTCTGAACACCAAAAGAAATCAGTCATCCTCTAAGGGGTCACAGGAGGACGTGAGGGTTGAGAGGGCCCAAACCTTGGCCCTTTAACCAAGGCGCGATGGAATGAGTCTGTTACTATCCATTAAGTGCTGTCGGTTTATTCCACAAACAAATATAAAATGCCAATAATGAGACATCCTGTACAGTTACCCTCGTCCCTTGGTATCCTTAAGGGACTGGTTCCAGAAAGCCCCTTGGATACCAAAATCCACAGATGCTCAAGTCTCTGATAGAAAATGGTGGAATATTTGCATACAACCTACACACATCCTCCTATATACTTTAAATCAGCTCTAAATTACTTGTAATACCCAATGCAATGCAAATGCTATGCAAATTGTTACACTGTATCGTTAGAGAATAATGACAAGAAGGAAGTCTGTACATGTTCAGTACAGACGCAACGTATTTTTGGAAAACTTTCGATCACGGTTGGATCCGCTCATGTGGAGACTTGACTGCCATTCATGGCATATGCCACCACTGTTGGCAGGGGTGAGGAACGGGTCAGCTACATGGGAGGCACGTTCTCACAGCCGTCCTGCTTTTGCTCTCAAATACTTCAGAGCTGTCCCATTCATTCCTTTTGCTGTTGGCAGTGCAGCGCAGCTGGTCTCCCCCAAGAACACTGATTTCAAATGGTGCTAGACAATCACTATTTAAATCTAAACCACCATATGAAACCAGCTTCCTGAAGAAGCTTTATGGTCTATTTTTTCTTCAGAATCCTCTCTTACAATAAACCCAAGACAATCTAGAAAGGAAAAGTTGAAATCTAGTTGTGAGTTAGTGGTCTAAACAGAGCTTTGGCAAATTTCATATAGACTGACGTCACCGAATTTGTTACTGATGGGGGAGCATGCCTGGGACTCCCCTTATTTTATTTTATTTTATTTTTTGAGGTGGAGTTTTTGCTTTTGTTACCTAGGCTGGAGTGCAATGGTGAGATCTTGGCTCACCACAACCTCCACCTCCTGGGTTCAAGTGATTCTCCAGCCTCAGCCTTCCAAGTAGCTGGGATCACAGGCATGTGCCACCACAACCGGCTAATTTTGTATTTTCAGTAGAGACGGGGTTCCTCTCTAACCTAAGGTCGGGAGTTTGAGACCAGTTTGGTCAGGCTGGTCTCAAACTCCCGACCTTAGGTGATTCCAGCCACCTTGGCCTCCCAAAGTGCTGGGATTACAGGCATGAGCCACTGCGCCCGGCTCCCCTTATTCTTAAATTGCCCAGACAAAGGTTCAGCTTCATCATTTAGAAGCAAGGTGGCAGGCACCTATAATCTCAGCTACTTGGAAGGCTGAGGCAGGAGAATCACTTGAACTCAGGAGGTGGAGGTTGCAGTGAGCCAAAATCACAGCACTGCACCCCATCCAGCCTGGGCAGCAGTGCGAGACTCCAGTCTCAAAATAAAAAAGAGAACATCTAATTACCATGTGCCTGGGGTTAATGATTTCACGTGGGTTCAGTGCTAATCTGTCAGGAGGTGCACTGCAGGCTGTTTACCTTGGGTTGGATTAATGTAACATTCTTGTTCCTCATGGGCTTGGCCAGTTATTTCTTCATGAGGAGATCCCAGCACAAACTCATCCTTTAACATGGAGAAGCATCCAGGCACATATCTATTGCTGCTAGGCTAATTAAAAAAAAAATCTCTGTGAATAAGGGAATAGAACACCAGGGCTATGGAGATGTGTGGCAGTCATTCATCAAAGAGGTAAATAGCTTGTTGACTGCAATGAAAGGCACATACTTGGTGAAGTGACAGGCAGTGACACATTTCAAGTGCATAGTAAATTTAAGCATTGAAACTGGGAAAAGTGCCAGTTCACTGCAACTCTCAAATAATGGTTTCACTAACTGTTATTCCTTTAGGGACCCCCTGCATCCTTCTGTATATGCTAGTGTAATTCACAGTGTAATGTCAGTGACTGACGTACACAAGAAGCAGCCAGATTATTCTCATTAGTTACAATACTCCAAAGTTGGCTTATTTTTGATAAATACCTAGTCACAGTGTTTGCCTACTGCCTGGAAGTTTTTTGTCAAATAATTGACACTTCAGTTTTGGGGAAAATCTTTCCTGAAGAATGAATTTCTTTCTTCTGTCTGATAAGATCATATATATTTCATACACCAAATACTCACACTATATATTCAATCATGCCCTTAGCAGGGACAAAAAACATGCTAAGTGTTTTTTATATTGTCTTTATGTATGCTTCTCAAAAATTCAACAGAAGGCTGAGTGTGGTGGCTTACACCTGTAATCCCAGCATTTTGGGAGGCTGAGGTGGGTGGATCACTTGAAGTCAGGAGTTCAGGACCAGCCTGGCCAACATGGTGAAACCCAATCTCTACTAAAAGAAATCCAAAAAACAAACAAACAAAAGCTGGTCATAGTGGCATATGCCTGTAATCCCAGCTTTTCAGGAGCCGGAGGCAGAAGAATCACTTGAACCTGCGAGGCAGAGGTTGCAGTGAGGCAAGATTGTACCACTGAATTCCAGCCTGAGTGATAGAGCCAGACTCTGTTGCCAAAAAAAAAAAAAAAAAAAAAAAAAAAGGCCTGGCGCAGTGGCTCATGCCTGTAATCCCAGCACTTTGGGACGCCGAGGTGGTTGGATCATGAGGTCAGGAGTTCAAGACCAGCCTGGCCAAGAAGGTTTTGAAACCCCATCTCGACTAAAAATACAAAAACTAGCTGGGTGTGGTGGTGCGCACCTGTAATCGCAGCCACTCGGGAGGCTGAGGCAGGAGAATTGCTTGAACCGGATGGCAGAGGTTGCAGTGAGCCAAGATCACACTACTGGACTCCAGCCTGGGTGACAGAGTGAGACTCTGTCTCAAAAAAAAAAAAAAAAAAAAAAAATCAGCAGCAGAAGAATAAAGGTAAGATATAATATTTTGCATCTATGGGTCTTCAATTTTAGCAGTTTGACAAGGTCATTTGGAATACCTTCCCACATTGCTTTTATGTCCTTGGGGAGACAGTGGGGTACTCAGTTGGCAGGTAGTAACCACACCAGGTACTCCTGTGTGGCAAAAGCTGAGTAGTGGCAGTCCATTGTTTTCTGTGACATGAAATGCCAGTCTGTTCTTGCAAGAGCAAACTGGCTTAAGGTCACTTCCCCTGGGGCTTGAGGATTTCACAAGGAGAACTCTCTCTGAGCATGACACTTCTTTAAGAATGTAGCTTCGAAATGTTAAGAGACCTCAGGACACAACAATCCCAACGTGAGTATTTAGGCTGGACTACAGATGCAGCTGTTACATAACAGAACACACTGTGATAGGCATCTTGAATCGGGTCCCTGTTTTCACATAAAGCAAGAGGCCAGTTTCCTGAAAATAAGTCTGCACGAAGAGACTGGCTACCCAGTTAACAGCAAAACACCTCCATGGCTCACTAGTAAGGAGATGGAAGAAAACCAGCTGATAAGTCAAAAAGGGCTCATTCATTCTCTTTCCAGGGCATGCATAGAAGAGAGTGAGGGCAAGTGGGATCCGCTTATTTTGTTGAGTCTTTCAGTGACATTCAGCTGCAAAGGCAACTCCACTGAGAAGGGAAGATTTCACTGAGTAAACATTAGCATGTTTCCAATCCTCCCTCGCCTCTAATTTCCAACAATCAACTTGATTGTTCTGTATTTTTAGGCCAGGATACAGTAGGGCTGAATTTCTGTAACTCAGGATGTTCTATTTTAATCATCAGCAATTTTAAGGCATGGCAAGATCTGAAAGAAAAAAACCTGTAATGACTCTTACACACAGAACACGCACTTAAAAGTGTCAAAACGCTCCATCTCCAGGATTAAAACAATCATCTTTCAAGAACAAAATCCTTTCTCAGTGTCTCTTAGCCCATAAGCCATGAGAATGTGTCTCCATTTCAAAACCTGGTCTGTGCCGTCATGCTTAGGCTGTTTCTCAGCAAGCTTTGTCATTTTTTCCCTTCCAAATCTGATAGCGAAGCTGGAGCCTGAGATGTGAATTAATACACCACACCAGGAACCCTTGCATGGCAAAAGCTGCAGTACAAGTCCATTGTTTTCCTGGCTGTGAAATGCCAGTCTGTTCTTGCATGAGCAAACTAGATTAAAGTAACTTCCCTTGGGGCTTGCGGATTTCACAAGGAAAACTGCATCTGAGCAGGGCATGTCTTGAAGATGTATACTCAAAATGTTTGGGACATTGGACACAATAGTCCTAACTTGAGTATTCAGGCTAGACTAGGGGGGCAACTGGTACTGCCTTGACGAGGGGGCCAGATCACGCTAAGTCCTTCTCTGTCATCCCATGTGCCTTGAGCAGATGTTTTCTTAGAGGAAGTGGATGAACAGGTTAATGCAGGATCTGGCTGGGCTGCTTGCTAGCTATGTGATCCTGGGCAAATCGTTTAATTTTCTGAGCTTCGGTATACTTATCTGGAGAGTGGAGATGTGAATTTCTATACTGCAGTGGTTGTTAGGGTCATATGGAATGAAGTCTATAAAAACAGTACGTCACTTTTTTTTTTTTTTGAGACAGAGTTTCACTCTTATTGCCCAGGCTGGAGTGCAGTGGTGTGATCCTGGCTCACTGCAATCTCTGTCTCCTGGTTTCAAGCGATTCTCCTGCCTCGGGTCTCAGCCTCCCAAGCAGCTGGGATTACAGGCGTCCACCACCACACCCGGCTAATTTTTTGTATTTTTAGTAGAGACGGTGTTTCGCCATGTTGGTTGGGTGATCCACCCGCCTCGGCCTCTCAAAGTGCTGGGATTATAGGCACGAGCCTCTGCACCCGGCCAACAGTGGGTCACTTTTAAAGCACTATGTGAATGTTTGGTGTTTTATCAGCTGAATCAGAACACTGGAGTGCTTTTGAGGGAGAAAGCCACAATGAACTGAAAAGTGATGGGAAGGGAACTCTGTGAAATCACCACAGCCTCCATTTTTGGAACACTTACTCCACTGCAGATACTGTGACACGTGCTTCACATGCACTTTCTTGGCATCTACAACCACTAACATGGCTGGTGGTGGCATCTTTGTCTTTCAGAAGAGGGGTTAGACATTTTGAAAGAGTATGTGACTTGCTCTTGGTCACAGAGCTGGAATGGCAGGCTGGGACCCAAACTCCAACATGCCCGATTCCCAGCCCAGGCATTCAGCTGGTGCTCTTTACTGCTCGGTCCTTATCTATACCATTCAGGGCATCTTCACATGGACCTCTGAACACTCACTGGCCCCAAGTTTCAGGATTTCATCACTAAACACATGAGTAAACCATTAAAGCCAGCTTTGGTCCTGAGTAGTAGAAGTAGCACTAAACAACTCACCGAGAGAAAGGAGAAAAATTGGGAATTAGCGCAATTTGGCTTGTACTGAATGGTCAGAAGACCTGGACCCTCCGCCACACTTCTGACATGCAGTGTGACCTTAAGCCAGTCCCGTCTTCTCTAAAGCTTCATCTTCCCAGTAACCTTACAGAAGTTCAAGTCAAAAAGCACAGATCATGCTTGAGATTATGACAGTGTTGAAATACTGTCTCCAAAATGTAGCCCTACAGTTTATCTTCTCGTTTCCTGTTTGTATGACACTGTATGGGGAGATGGGCAAATGCAGACTCTAGAGCCAGAATGCCCAGCTCTGCCACCAGCTCCTCACACGACCCTGGGCAAATAACTTTAACTCTCTCTGCTCAGTCTCCTCATCTGTAAAATGAGGGTGATAACTGGACCTCGCACATACGGTTGTTGTGAGGATTAAATCAGGGAAATATGATGAAGCCATTTCAACGAGCGTTAGCACACGTAAATATTCAGTAAATGGCAGCTATGCTAATAAAAGGAATACATTCGTTTTCCATGAGCACATTATAACAGGGATGTGACTAAGAGATCTGCCATAGCTGGTAAACGGAGAGGGTGCAGAGATCTTGCTGTCACACGCTTTGCCATATACTGACACATTCTAGAGTGACTGCAAAGCCATCTCACTAATACTAAAATCAGAAGAGAAACCCTTGGACCTATAAATGGCATTCCCAGCTGAATTTACTGAAATACATAATATTGAGTATTTTCAGCTGCCTTCTCCTCTTTCTATTCTAAGACCTGACTATGGGATCTGTACCCTTGATTTTAAGCAGGAGTTCATGTTATAGACTCTTCCTGACAGTAAACTGAGAGTTGGGTGGTTAAGAGTCGAGATCAAATACAACCATTTAAAAAAAATGTATCAGGCTTGTCAGGCATGGTGGCTCACACCTGTAATCCCAGCATTTTGAGAGGCTGAGGCAGAGAGTCACTTGGCCCAAGAGTTTGAAACCAGGGCAACAAAGGGAGACTCTGTCTCTATAAAAAAATTTTTTTTAAATTAGCCAGGTGTGGTGGTGCATGCCTGTGGTCCCAGCTACTCAGGAGGCTGAGGTGCGAGGATCACATGAGCCTAGGAGGTTGAGGCTGCAGTGAGTTGTGATCACACTGCTGTACTCGTCTTGCCTGGGCAGCAGAGCAAATCCCTATGTCAAAAAAGAAAAATAAAAATGTACCGAGGAATCATCCTGGGACAAAATAAAACAAAACTCCCTTGACGCTGACTTATAAGCAGAAGCCTCTACTTACGTAGGGTGTAAAAGCAATCTGTTAACAGTCATTTTCCAGGCACAGAAATCCTCAGGAGGCATTTGTTCAGAAGATCAGCACCTGCAATGTAAATGACAGTATGAGCTCCTAGGAGATCTCCGAGACTGACAGCAGAAGAAAACATGGTTTTCTCATAAGCATGTTTCTCCACCAGTTTCACCAATAGATACGTTTTTTAAAACGAGAAACAGAAAGCACCTTCTCTTTCCTGCTTAAGACACACAGGTTGGAAAAGCTCCTGTAGAGTGAGCAGCACACGCCCTCTCATGCTGGTGCTCTTGGTGCTGGAGAAGACGCGAGGTGTGGCCATTGCTAAGGAAACCATCTGCTGACATGAGGCAGAGCCGCAAGGTTTGCTCAGCACGATGTCTTAGGAAAGGAAACACAGTCTAAGACTACAGATCCCATCACAGAAGAAAGGCAGGCAAGGGTCCTGCACAGGAGATGGGAGAAGGTTTCTGTTTTCACAACTGATTCTGCAGCCTAGTGCTGGAGCAGTCCAGGCTGCACCTGTCTGCAAGGACGGTGTGACTGCTTCAGACTCAGGCGGAGGGCAATTGAGAAGAATGGAAAGTGCCTTGCATTCCCTCCTATCTGGTCTAACTTCACAGACAAAATGCATCTTTTGCCGCATTGCAAGAGAGGAAGGTGTAAAAGCAATGTGTTAACAGATATTTAGGTCGTAGAGGTCTTCATTTCTGATGAATGTTTACATAAATCCTTCAGTAATCCCCCTGATGTGACCTGTCAGGGAAGCTAGGAATGCCTTCACAGTGGCTCCCAGGGGTGTCCTTATAGAAGATTACATCTCAAAACACTCACATTTTACCTTGCAATAGGCTCTGTCCTATTGCAGAGGAAGAAAGCTCTGTCCTGTCAAGTTATCACCAGTTGCAGTTTCTAAGTTAATGATTACAGCTCCATCAGGGAACCTGAACACAGCTGAGGCCACAGAGCATTCCCTGTGCTTACTAGCCAGAGGGGAGGATGTGGCCCAGATGCATGGATCGGAACTGAATGGTGAAGACAACGATTTGTGATTGGCAGGTGGTCTCTTTAAGCCATGCTCTTCAGCGACTGGGAAGCTCTCAAGATGGTAACAAAACAGCAACAGAGTATGTTGGGAGGATTCTTGAGAGTTGAGATTAAAATCCAAGAGGAGCTTGGCCAGTAAAAGAAATGGTCAGAAAAAGCCATTTGATACTCTCCTACAACAGAAAAATACATCTGAAAAATCAAGCTGAGAAGTACAGGTGGGAAGGAAGAGGTACTGGGGTAAACATAACCATCAAACCAACGTGAAGCTACTGAATCACGCAGAATTCTGGAATATTTCATCACCATCAGAATAGCACGTTTCCAAAATTGTCTGATTATACAAATGAGGATAGAAACCAATGTCAGACAGGAGCTCTTTCATTTTTCTTTTTCTTTTTTTTGAGATAGAGTCTCACTTTGTTACCCAGGCTGGAGTGCAGTGGCGGGATCTCGGCTCTTTGCAATCTCTGCCTCCCGGGTTTGAGCGATTCTTGAACCTCAGCCTCCCAAGTAGCTGGAGTTTTAGGCGTACGCCACTACACCCGGCTAATTTTTGTATTTTTAGTAGCGACGGGGTTTCACCATGTTGGCCAGGCTGTCTTGGACCTCCTGACCTCAGGTGATCTGCCCACCTCGGCCTCCCAAAGTGTTAGGATTACAGGTGTGAGCCACCGTGCCCGGCCCTCTTTCACTTTTCAACAGTAACCAAGGTCTGCATCATATTGTGAGGAACACCCATCCATCAACTGCTTTCTGGAAGCTTTGAGTGTTTGAAAAAGTAGCTAGTTTAAGCTGCTGGGAAGTCCTTCAATTAACCTTCAAAAGCATGTAATAAAACCTTATAGAGCATGCTTCTTTCATCCTCTGTCACTCCTCTAGAGAATGTGAGAGCTTTCTAGCCACTGTCCCTGTGGCCTCCTAGGATTTAGATGTATGAACATTATTTATAGGTGGGGAAACTAGAGCACTGAAAGGCTTGGTCAAGACAACCGTATAGGTTAGTGACAGAGTTTCTTAATTATGAGGACCTGAGCTTGATAAATGCAGTTTCAGCTTCCCAGAATACCCCGCCTCTTGGTGAGCACTGGATGTCCGTCCCGTCTATAGCAGCCCTTCGCAGTTTAAGTGTAGGAGCAGAAACCAGCCTGCCACCTCAGAGGAGAGCTGTGAGTTGCAGCCCAGCCAGCGAGCATGCAGCACTAATGGGATTTCCTGAGGCTCTGGCAGGAAGTCAGGGGTCAAGTGAGATCTGAGGTGCTCGACAGCCACACCCTGGAGTCTGTTAGTCTCTGCTTAAAATCAAATTGATCAATCAGTATCTTCCTTTCTTTGCCGCTTCTCCTGAGCTCCAGCATATTTGAGTGAAGGTACTTATATGCAGCCCTTTTTTTTTTTTTGGAGACAGAGTCTTGCTCTGTTGCCAGGCTGGAGTGCAGTGGCATGGTCTCAGCTCACTGCAGCATCTGCCTCCCGGGTTCAAGTGATTCTTCTGCCTCAGTCTCCAGCTGTAGTTCTCAGCTGGAACTACAGGCGTGTGCCACCACGCCCAGCTAATATTTGTATTTTTAGTAGAGACGGGGTTTCACCACGTTGGCCAGGATGGTCTGCAACTCCTGACCTCGTGATCCGCCCACCTCTGCCTCCTAAAGTGTTGGGATTATAGGTGTGAGCCACCGCACCCGGCTCTATATGCAGCCTTTTAAAAGCCTAGTACTATTAAGGGAGCTCCCATTTCAAGGCACATTTGAACTGGGAACAGAAAGACAGGCAGCTTAAGCTTTGAGATCATAGAGACTCAGATTCAGATTTCTCCTCTGCCACTTGTTGCACAGCTTTGGCAAGCTATTCAATCCGTTTTAGGCTTTTTAAAAAAATTTACAAAATAGAAATAATAATGTTAACTTTCAGAGGTGTTGTGAAAACACAGCTAACTCAAATAAAACACGATACACAGATTTTCAACACGTGAACCCCCCACCACATTCCCCTGTGAGGGGATGACACAGCTAACATTTTTGGGTAAAATTTCCAGAAGGTCCACACAATCACATTGTTAAAACTGGTGTGAAAGACTAAAATGATATTAGGCATTAGTCAATCAAGGCTGTGTGTAGGTCTGGGGGCTTCTCTGGAAGCAAAGGCCAGACCAAGGGATGTCCCAACAAGAAGTTAAGAGTCTGGGGAAAGGCAGATATGATCTGAAACTGGGACCAGGAAATTCCAACCATTTCTGCCTATTGATTACTCATCATTGATTCACTGAGTTTACAATTTACCAGGAGGACACGCAGCAGACTGAAGGGATTAGTCCCACTCAAGTTTAAAACATAAAAATAGACAATGACAGAGGGTGCCAAAGGAAACCACGGGGCGTGGTGGGGCCATTGCAAGAAGCGCCGGTCCCCGTGAGCCATGCGCAGGAGGGACATGCCACTTCTTCCATGGAGGGTCTAACCAGCAGCAGTGCTGCAGAGACACAGGCTCAATGCTCCTGGTCAAGACAGATCTCTTAAAATCATGGGTCAATATCCCCCAGCTGCCTCCTAGGGGCCTGGCACTGTGCTGCACACTGCTGGAGAATCCCCGAGGAGGGGCTGTGGTATGTCGTATGTGACCCCAGGACCTAACTGTAGAATGTCCAGCATGCAGGGACAGAGAAAGTGCTGTGGCGTGTCCTGATGCTGGAGAGCACAATCATCACTGGGGACCGGATGAGCTCAGGGCAGGCTGATGGATTACTCGGTCAGGAGAGGCTTCAGAGGGGGCAGGGGGAGAAAGGGAGAACTCCAGGGAGGGGACAGTAAGGCCACGCCGGAGGTGGCAGGGGTGAAGACAGTGGGGAATGGGGCACAGCCAGGGTGGAAGTCCCACTGCCAGGGATCTGAGATGACAGCCCAGCGGGCGTGCCGGGTGGCGACCTACATATAGATCCCCCTGCTCACACACACACGGTGAAAGTTAGCTGCGATCAGGGGGTGAGAAGCAGCGTGAATTTTATGAAGAGTAGAAGATGTTAAAGACCTAATGTGGGAAGCCCTGCTGTAGACAGGACTGAGCAAGACCCGGGGCCTCTCTTCATGGAGTTTACAAGCTGGCGCGAGCTGTAGCCCTGTGGACAGTTAACTGTTACTACATGGGCTAAACAGTAGCATAGAGGGAACTCTAGGGGATACAGGGACCCACAAGTATGGCACTGGACCTTGGGGTCAGAATAAGGTTTCCCACAGAGGTATGAGCAAAAAAAAAAAAAAAAAAAAAGGGATATGGTCCATTCCTTTCAAGCTTCCCACAGGGGCCAGGAGCCCCCTTTGCAGGATGTCTTAATAAGTGGGACATAAAGGTACCCATTTGTCTAGAATACAGTGTTGGCTGGAGACCGTGAACATAAGAAATGGTACCCTTAAAATGCCTGGTGGATCAAAACGAGTCCCTGTCCCTGACCCCAACTTTAGAAGTCAAAAGGAAGATGATTGTGTCACGGGACTGCAAATTACACTCACGATGCAGGTGAAACCTTGGGGCAACTTTCACACGCACAGGAAGGAAGGAAGCCCAGAAGGAAGACAGTTAGGAAATCTAGCATGCCCAACAGGAGTCGCGGGGGAAGGGGGGTGCTCACTTAGGAGGGACCTAGGAGCATGCAAAGCCTCTGTCCTCAATCTGCTCCCTCCAGGTAAGAAGCCACAAATAAGTCACCCATTCCAAGAAAAACAGCAAGGGGAGGATTAGGAGACATTCTCATCCAGTATGAATATAAAAATCTTAAGAAGAAAACAACACACACTGCTTTCTGTTCCACTGTCCCAGCTTACTGTGTGATTTTTCTGTTAGGAAAACTGTACCCACAGCTTTAATTTGATGCATTTGCTAGATATGATTTTTTAAACAAATAAAACAGAAGAAAAAAAATCCAAAGTAGTATCTCAGAAGGCCATTATGGATGCATAATGGTCTTAAGACAGCAAAACTCCTCTCTTCAGTAGCTTTTTTTTTTGAGACGGAGTCTCGCTCTGTTGCCCAAG